AGGGCCCGACTTCGGCATTTTAGCCCCAGCTCTGTCACAGCCTGGCTGTGGGGCTGAGCAACTGACTTCCTCTTGCTGGACTGAGTCTGGCTATCTCTAAAGTGGGGGACTTTGGTCTGATTCAGTCATTCAATCAACAAATATTTCCCAAGAGCCTAGTACCTGGCATGTGAACCGGAGATGTGGTGGTAAGTGACACAAACAGATTCCTGTCCTGGAAGGGTAAGAGAAAAACAGAGGGCTAGGCTGGGGAAATGGTGGGGGTGTGCCTTAGAGAGTGAGAGTCAGGGAACACAAGACAGAGGGGAACAGCATGCTAAGGGGGGGCCAGCTGGAATGTGGCCTACTGGAACCTCCTACTCTGGGATCCCATGAATCTGGACAAAGTTCAGAGTCTGAAGAAATGGGAGGGACTTCCCTTCAGTGATCATCACCCACTGCTCATTCATGACACTCCTTCAGCATGTGAAAACCCAGCCCACGTTGTTTCCTCATCTCGGGGGGTCTCTGGGGTCTCTCTTGAACCCACAACTTGCCTGTGCAGAGCGCCCCAGAAGCCGACTTGCCATGCCAGCCCCGGCTCCCACTGCAGGGAGCAACCAGAAGTCCTGTCTGTCCTGGCCTTTCAACCTGTTGGCCTTGTCTGGGCAGTGTCTTGCCTGGAGCGAGTCCCAAGCTCCTACTCTCCTATGTCTAAACCCTCCCCAGCCTTCAAGGCCTGGCTCAGATGCTACCACTTCTGGTGCCTTTTCTGATCCTAGGCTGGCCACACCCTTTCCCTCATCTGCACTCTGCTAGGCCAGAGTTCATGCTTTGATTCACAGGAGAGGACCCTTGCATTGAGCTTGTCTGTGTCCTGCTGAGCTGTTGTACATTCTCAGGACGCAGGGACCCGTGACTGCTCCTTCACTGCTTTGTACTGGCCTTCCCCCCTCCATTCCCCACCTCCAAGGGCATGGAAACAGGGCCTATGGATGGCAGGATGGCATGGGTGAGTATAGGCCACCTGCTGACTGAGTCACTTGAGGAGAGGCACTTGGCCTCTCTGTGCCTGCTTCTTCCTCTACGAAATGGACTGCCACAGATGCCAGCCTGCAGAGTGCTATGACCACCCAGGGCAAGAGCGTGTTGCAGGTGCTGACATGAACCCTGCGCTCCATCTAGAGGACCCTGGCGCCCTGAGCCCAACTGGGCTGAGGCTTTGTTCCCTCCCTCCCCTGACCCCAGATGCCTCTAAAAGGAACCCAGGCCATCATTTGAGGCCTTCCCACATTTGCCTCTTCCCACTGTCTTGGATTCAGTTCTGAGGGCTCCGTCCAGCCTGACTTCTGCTTAGCCTCTGTCCTAAATTCCACCCCCAGCTCCTCTCCCATCTGTACATAGTAGCCAGAGGGATCCCAGTCCCAGTCTCCCATTGCTCTTAGAATAAAGTTGTCACTCCACACCATGGCCTGCAGGGCCCTGCCAGCCCCAGGCCCCACCACCCTCACCTTGGCCCTTACACCTCACTCAGTTCCAGTTACTGTGGGAAACCCATCAGGCTTCATTGTACAGCTGCATGTACAGCTGCCTCTGTCTGGAACTTTCTTCCCCTGCAGATCTCAAGGCTGCCCCTTTTTGTCATTCAGGTCCCAGTCCAAATGTTCCTCCTCTGAGAGGCTTTTTTCTGACTACACCTTTGCGGGGAGAGGGTCCCCCCTTCCCAGCCTCCTGTTTGTTTCCTTCACAAAGTACTTGGCAAAATTAATGAGAAAAATAAAAAATAAAATAGAGCTACTCTGTCTCCCCACAAGACTGTAAGCTTCCTGAAGACAGAGAATTTGCTAATCTTGTTCACTGTTATTCCCAATGCCTAGTATCTGATGCTTAGCAGTAATTCAACAAACATTTGTTAGAAGAAATGAACCTATTTTTTTTTTTAAGAAATAAAATTATTAAGCATTCAGTGTGTCCTATGGTTTGGGGACACTAAAGATGACTAAGTCCCAAGTCCTGTCCTCCAGATTCATAGTCTAAAATAATTGCCCCCAATGGGCTGAGTGGAGAGAGAGCTCTATGCAAGGTGCTATTCTCTCATGATGGAATGCCTCCCTTTTCAAGAATCCTTCACCGTGGCCATAAACTGTCTTTCTGTTTCTCTCTACACCGGCTGTTTACTCCCCAGTTTTTGCTCTTGCATATCCCTTAGTCTGGAATGTTGTCTCCCATGTCTGAACAGCCAAATGCTCTGGTCTCTTTCCCTCTCTGAGCCCTTCAATATGAGTATTTGAGGGGATTGTGTCTGCCTTCCCCACTGGACAGACTGAGAATATCTCAGTGGCAGGCCTGGACAGGGCTGCATGTGCCTCGCCCCAGCCCTTGAACCAGAGCAGGCACTCAGACATGCTTGATGAATGAAGGTGTTTTTCCAAAAAGGCCTTATCCCTTGAGATGCCCAGGCCTACTTGTCACAACAATGCCCAACCCCTCCCCCAATTCCCCCCACCCCGGCTTCCAGACTACAGCCCCTCTGTTCACGGCTCCCTCCTTACTCTGCAGCCTGGGCTCTGGCACCAGCTAGCTGGGTCATCTTAATGGCCCGGCTTTGCCTCTGTCTGTGCCTTTCCCTATTTCCAGCTGTAAATGTGGCATAGGACAGCAGCTCCCTAGGGTCTTTGTGAACTCCACTGCCCCTCCTCTTCTTGCCCTGATCCTAGAACCCCTTGATCCCCAGGCCCTGCAAGGCTAAATACTCCCATGTGGCCATCCCCAGTCTTGGCATGGGCAGGTCAGCTTACAGGGATCCAGAGATACTCCTGTGGGGGGCTGATAAGGAGAGGGAGGGCCTTCCAAGCCCAGAACTACTGCCAGATGTTGATGCCTGGAGCCAAGGGACTGTCCCACCTAAAAGTAGGGTCTGCCTGTAAGGCCCTGGCCTGGCTTCAGTTGGCAACTGTTGTCCAAGAAGGCAAGCCCTGGATACTTAACTCCTTTCAACTCTATCTGCTCATGTGCAAAAGTGCACGTAACAATGGTAACCTACTTTACAAAAGGGTCCTTATGAGGATTAATGAGGCATTGCATGTAAACAACTTAACACAGTGTCCGCTCATGGAAAGCTCCCTATGAATGTGAGCCATTACTTCACTGGGACTCAGGAAAGGCAAATGTCTGGTCCAAGATCACAGAGTTAGATAACTGGAAGAGTAGGGATGCAAATGCCAGGATAGCATCAGATCCTATGCCCTGCTGCATTCACAAAAGAGACCACCCCTGGGTGTCACACCAAGGTCCCTGATGTCTTAGCGTAGGGTCCCACATGCTCTTGACCTCTCCCATGAGTTGGCACCTTAGAGTTTACTAGCACTTTCTCTTTCTCATCAACCTGGAGAGCAGGAATCATTCCTTTCCCCCTCCCCCCCTCAGAGAAGCAAACTGAGGACCCTTAGTTTCTGCCCCAAAGGAACTCAGGCCACCTGGGGGCAGAAGGAACCTGAGGGTCAAGAACTACAGCAAGACAAACCGCTAAGTCTGGGAGGCCAGGGTAAGGGGCACATCCATTGCTCTATGCTCTCAGCCAGGTCCCTGCCCTTCTAGGCCTCAGTTCCCCCATAGTTCCCCGGAGGGGACGCGGGATCTCCTAAGGTGCTCCAGCAGGACTTTTCGCTTCTGGGGAAGGTGCCGCCCTTGCACCGCAACCAGGACCCTCCCACCATGACCGCTTTCACAGAGCTGACTGGGGTACCAGCCCTAGGAGTATCAGAAATCCCAAGGGACCCGGGCTGGGGGTTGAGCGGGCAAGGCGGGAGTGTACACCTGGCCAGGTATCGCTCAAAGCTCTACAGCCCGGACCGTGGCGGCGGTGGACCCAAGGTCGCGCGGCTGGACCCTGCCCGCGCTAGGGCGGGGTCCCCCTCGTTCCCCCCGGCGAAGCCCGGGCCCTCGGGGAGACACTGACCGGGCTCGAGCGGCGGCCCCGCTGCCTCCGCCTCCGTCCTCATGACCCGGGCCGCGCGGGGCGCCCATGGCCCCGGCCCGGCGCCGGCTGCAGCTTCGGCTTCGACTGGGGCGGGAGCGGGGCTGGTGCGTGTCAGGTTCCTCCGCCGCCGCCACCGCCGCCGCCGCCGCCGCCACCGCCACCTCCACCGCGGTGGGGAGAAGGGGAGGCGGTGGCAGGGCCGCCCCAAGCCCCGCCCCGCCCCTTCCAGTCTTCGGCTCGGGGCCCCGCCCCTTCTTTAAACCCCACCCCTTCGCTGGTGCTCAAAGAAGCCCCTCCCTTTCTTTTCCCCTGACTTCTATTCCTAGAGGCCCCCAGCCTCCGGATCTAAACGGGTCCTGGCCATTGGCAGTCTCGGCTTCTGGTAACCCCGCCCCTTTCCCCCCACTCCTCGCGCAGACGCGCAGGCCCTTTCACGCCTCCGTTCCCCGGAAGCTCCGCCCCTTTGCCTAAGCGCGGCCCCCCAGCCCTGCCTTTCCACCGGCACTGGTTCCCCGGAGACTCTTCATCTTAGCGAACTCCGTTTCTGCCTGGCCGCACTTCTCTGCCAGCCTCAGGCCTAAGGCCAGGTCCTATCCGTACACCGCGGGGCTCCAGAAGACCTAACACTACTTCGACTTCCTTGAGGGACGGCGTGGGCCGGCTCCCGCTCTACTCTAAACCTGTTCCTCTATCCGTACGGTGAGATACCTCGCCTTACGGAGGGCGCCCCTTACCTGGTGGTGCCGGGTTCCAAAGGTTAAATTGTGAGAGTAGGTCCTGGCCCTCAGCCCCCGATCCGAGGACCCAAGCCCCAGATCCCCACCTTGCTGTCCAGCCTGTCCCCGGTGTTAGGTGCTTCGAAACGCAAGCCCTTCCCCCCACCCCCTTGACGGCCTATGGATCAGTGTTTCCGGCGGCACCTGGGCCCTGTCACCAGCTCTCTCTTCCGGGGCCGGAACTATCGTAGCCGAATCCACGTTTCCCAGTCGGCCGAGTGAGAAGGAAGCAAAGGCAAGACCGCGCTCACCACTAAGAAAAGGAAGGGGCCGGGCCCTACGCACAGCATTTTGGGAACGCGTGGTATTCTGGGAGCGCGAGACCCGCCATTCGCTTTGCTCACGCCTTCGCAGTCGCTAGAGTTGCCGCGGCGCCGGAAAGGAAGAGTAGGCCGGAGCCGGTGAGGTGAGGCCGGGAGCAGGCGAGGGTAGACCCGAAGCACCCGTGAGGGGCCTGGGGCTGGAGAAGGACGCGCTGCCGAGCAACTCTGGGAGGTTCGGGGAGGGAGAAGAGCGGGAAGTCCGGGTCACTCAAACATCAGCGTTGCCTCACTAGCGCCTGAAAGTGAGTTCTCATTAGCTTTTCCCCAAAGTACATGCTCTTCGTTTTCTGTGCCTCTCCAGGCCATGTTTTTCCGAACATACAGGCAATAGTCTTGAAATGTTTCTGGCTGCCTCCTTCCCCCAAGTTCTCTCTGGGCAATCCGTTTCAAAGTTGTTTGCATCTCTGCCCCCAACCCCCTTTCAGTCACTGGTCCTCTCATGCTTTCCATATTGTTACAGAAGCCTTATCAAGTTTCCTTGCTTCTAAACTGTTTGAAAAAAAACAACAACAACTGTGTTTGATCCATTTGTAAGTGCTGCTGCCTTTTTATTGGATCATTCCTTTACCCATAGTCCTGCAATAGTTCCCCGCTGTCTTCAGCATAAAAGCCAAACTCCTAAGGCTACTTCCTCACCGAGGGAACCTGTCTTTCCCAACCTCATGTTCCCTTTCCAATCTTGAACACACATGATGTGTCCCGACCTTCATTTGTTGCCTATCTGGGAATATGAAATCTACTGCTTGTTTCTTTTATTTACATGAAATCAGGTGATTTCCCTGATTATGTTTTTCCTCCAAACATTTCCTGCTTATAGCACGTTGTCCCTTTGTGAACACTTTATTTTCTATTTAACCTTGAAGAAGTGGAGGGTCAGTGGGTACTTAATGAGTCGAATTAAATGCACAGCCTCTTCTAGATTTGCCTGGATCCTTTGGTCTACATCTGTATTGCCCAGTACTTTAGCCACTAGCCCAAGGCCATTGATCTCTTGAAATGTGGCTAATGTGATTTATTTCACTTTAAGTTTAGTTTAAGTAGCTACATGTGGACTGTGGCTACTGTATTGGACAGCTCAGGTCTATGTCATGGGTTCTCAAAGTGGTGTCATCCACAACTATGGGTTGGCATGTACATCGTGTGGTATGTACATTTCAATCCCCTGTCCCCAACACACACGGTATTGGTTACTGGTTATTTGATGAAGATGAAGAGGCATATGGTAGCAGGGAGGGAGATGGAAGGCACTTTATTCTCATCCCATTAGCTTTCCCTCTCTCCAGCCCTGCCCCCCCCATTCTTCACCATTCCACATCTTTCATGTATTTGCCAGATGAGTTCCTCAAACTAGGAATTAAGCTTTTTTTTTTCCCTGTGGAGAATGGCAGCTTTGGCATTCTTACTAAATTTTATGGAGTGTCAGGCCTTAAGGGAGTTATGATATGTGCCACATGACTTCTTAGGCCCTAAAGGATGAACTAACTGTTGTCTCTCTCACTGTAGAGCTCTTTTCCTGCCAAGATGTCTATTGGTGTGCCGATTAAAGTCCTACACGAGGCTGAGGGTCACATTGTGACATGTGAGACAAACACTGGTGAGGTGTATCGTGGGAAGCTCATTGAGGCGGAGGACAACATGAACTGCCAGGTATCCTGCTTTCCACATGAGGTTATGGGGGAAGCTTGGGCCTCTGTCTTGGAGCACAGAAAGATAGTGATTGGAGGTCTTTTTGAAGTTCCCCTCCTTGAACAGTTATTTATGAAGCGCCTGATGTGTGCCAGGCACTGTTATAGTTGCTGCTGATATGGGCATAAATAAGAGCTATTTAGAAGTGTGTTTTCTCCATCCTATGATCATCTTCTCCTATATTTCGGAGACTTGTTTAAAAGAAGTGGCACTGTTCCCTTCAGTAGAATCTGTCAAGTTCAGGGCCATTCTCCATTTGCCCCTACATGTTTGTGTAACTGCTTTGCAGTTAGTAGAATCTTCCACTCACATACCATGTTTATTTTCCATCTTTCTTGGAAGAGGAGTATCATTTGATTATAGCAACTACCTTATGAGGTAGGCAGGTTCGGTGATAGTTCTGTCATCCATAAAATAGGGAGAATAAGATTAAAAGACTTCATCTACTGAATGTCCTTCCGCTAACAAGTATTGGAGCAGCTTCCTCATACTGTGCCCTTCCCATGGCACTCTTTTGCATTTTGCTAATAATTGCATGAGTTTGTATAGCATTGCTTTGGCAAGGTGTATCAGCACACTTTCTCCTTTGTTCTTTAAATCATCAGTTAAGAACTTGGGCTTCAGAATCAGAGATGTGGGTTTGGATCCTAATTATCTGACCTTGATCATGTTAATTGCTTCAGTTTCCTTGTCTCTAAAATGGGAATGGTGTTATTTTATGTCCTCTGAGACATAGTTGCCAAGGTAGAATTGTTGTGCAAGAGATTTATTGGGAGAAATAATAATGAAGGATAAAGGAGAGGGAGTAGGAGTAACCAGGAGAGCTTTCAATCTATTACTGGTCTGGTGCTGGGGAAAGGAGAGGGAAAAGACAAGATTGAGTGGGAAGAGCCTTGTACCGCAGCGTATCTCTGAGGAAGTCTCAGCCAGCAGGAGTTGCTCATTAGAAGAGTGTAGCATGGGGCAGAAATGACCTGGCTCTAGGATCCCATTGTGATCACTCATTGGCCGACAGCCTGGGGAGACAGTGGCTTCAGGGTGAATGCTGTGATGGATCCCATAGGTGGCAGCTGGAGACTGTCAGCTCCATGCGTGCCTCATAGCCTGATGACCCTTGCAGGGAGATCTGAGCAGTGCATTCTGAAGACCGCCATAGGGATAACACCCACACCCTGGGGCTGTTCTACAGATCAGATTAGTTATGTATGTGCAGCAGCTAGTTTCACACCACGCACATTTTACATGTCCACATGTAGTTTCTGTTAATGTTTTCTAGGTGAGAAAACCGAAGGTCAGAAAGAGAAGGTGACTTCCCTCAAATCACACTGCAGATCAGGTGTCCTGTCTATTGCTTTGCAGCATTCACTTGTGATAGCTCTATAGCTTTGAGCATCATCTTCCTGCCAGGTTGACCAGTGGGGCCAGTTCCCTGGCTCAGGGAGATAGACATCTAGTGACTGCAGGTTTCTCTCTTCAGTGTTGATGCCGTACAGGTAGATGGTGTGGGCTTTCTAAAGGTCCTGTGGGGCTTTGCCTGCCTTGTCTTTGTGAGGCACCCCTGTCATAGATCCAGTCCTCTGGTTTAAGGCATCCTCATCCATTTTAAGGTACTTTATTTTGGTGAGTAGAATGCAAGACTGGGGGTAAGGCACCTTAATGTGTTTATTCAGCTATTTATTTGGACAACTGACTGAGTTTTCAGGGCCTCAAACTGCCCATTTGTAATGTCTGACCAGATGACCTTGGTGGTCTCTCAAATGTAGCCATTGTGATATAAAGCACACAGCCTGGTGATAGATCTGGAATCAGGTTGCAGCCCACTACCTTGTGTGACTTGGGTCCAGCTTTGGACCTCCCTCTGTTCCCTCCTTTCTTTTTTTTTTTTTAAAGATTTTATTTATTTGACAGAGAGAGACACAGCGAGAGAGGGAACACAAGCAGGGGGAGTGGGAGAGGGAGAAGCAGGGTTCCCGCTGAGCAGGGAGCCCAATGTGGGGCTCGATCCCAGGACCCTGGGATCATGACCTGAGCTGAAGGCAGACACTTAATGACTGAGCCACCCAGGCGCCCGTGTTCTCTCCTTTCTAAGTCAGGATTAAAAATAACACCTCAGCCTCAGCATTATAGTGCAGAATAAATGAGTGAATGTATGTCAGGTGGGGGGAGCCAGTCACTTGCTTCCCGCTTATGTTAATCTGCTGGGGCTGTCATAACAAAGTGTCACACTGAGTGGCTTAAACAAGCATATTTATTCCCTCAGAGTTCTGGAGGCAAGAGGTTTGAGATCAAGGTGTCACAGGGTTAGTTCTGAGGGCCGTGAAGGAAGGATCTGTTCCAGGCCTCTCTCTGTGGCCTGTAGATGGCTCTCTCCTTCCTGTATCTTCACATGGTTTTCCTTCTGTGTGGATCTGTATCCTGATCTCTCATAAGGACACAAGTCATGTTGAATTAGGGCTCAGTTACCTCTGTAAAGATCCAGACTCTAAATATGGTCACATTCTGAGATACTGGGGGGTTAAGACAGATGAATTGGAGGCAGTTAGGATTCAGCCTATAACACTGTCCATGCCCAGATGCTGAGACTTTGCTGGGTTTACCTAAGCCTGGCTCACTGAATAAAAACCAGCAGGCTAAGGCAGAGCTGAATATATTGCGCTAAGCCCAGCACAGTTCATTCACACATCCCCAGGATGCGTGAAACCAATGGCTCCTGCAGTTCCCGCTGCTTTCCTTCCTTCCTGGCCCCAGTTAGTCTGCCCTTTGGGGATGAGAGCATCCCCTTAGCACTTTCTAGCCTTTGCTAGAGGACAGCTGGAGTTTAGTGTTTGCCATTGGATGTTGGCAAACATTTTAATAACTTTGGTTTTTTCTAAAGATTGATTGATTGATTGATTGATTGATTGATTTTAGAGAGCGCTTGCGGGAAAGAGTGGGGGAGGGGCAGAGAGAGAGAATCCTGAAGCAGACTCCCAGCTGAGTGTGGAGCCCAACACGGGGATCGATCTTACGACCTGGAGATCATGATCTGAGCTGAAATCAAGAGTCAGCTGCCCAACTGACTGAGCCATGCAGGCGCCCCTAACATTTTTTATTACAAAAGTGTGGTGGGTCACACACTACAAAGATTTGGAAAACAGATAAGAGCATCTCACCACAGCCACAATTGGCATTGACTTTTCTTCCCCCCTAGGAAGGTGTCTTGTGTTTCTAGTATTTATTTTTTACTCTGTCTGCTTTCAAAAAGTGTTAGAGGTAGGGGGCGCCTGGGTGGCTCAGTTGGTTAACCGTCTGCCTTTGGCCGTCTGCCTTTGGCACAGTTTGTGATCTCAGGGTCCTGGGATTGAGCCCTGCATCAGGCTCCCTGCTCAGTGGGGAGTCTGCTTCTCCCTCTGCCCCCCACTGTACCCACTCGTGTTCTCTGCCTCTCTCAAATAAATAAAATCTGTAAAAAAAAAAAAAAAAGAGGTGGTTTATAAAAAATTATACAATAAGGTAAAAATGGACAGATAGGTCAAGATGCAGGTAACTTGGGGTAGACCGTAAAGTGAAGCCAGGCAGGCAGTTAGTACCCAGAAACGTAAATCTGAATCCCTGTACATTTAATAAAGGGATATTCTGTTCTAAGCTACTTAGAGGCCCGGCAGAGGGAAATCAGCAGTTCTAAGGTGCGTAGTGTCCTTAAGATAAAATACCAGTTGTGTGGTTTTCCCTGGCAGTCAGATGTGGAAGAGATTTTTCCCCTTGGCCCTGATAAAAGAGATACAGTCTTATACTATTAGATAATGTCATCACCAGCGTCCCCATACAAACCATACCTTTTTGGGTTCCTCAGATATTTTTAATGTAGCCTGTTACCACAGCTCTTTTTTGACGATGCAAATGTAATCTATGCAAGCATTAATCCTAGGATGAGGTCCTTGAGATGGGCTCATAGGGTCAGAGGGTGTAGATACTTCTTTGCATCTGAGGTTTGGCTGGCAAGGCAGGGAGTCTTGTCCTCCCGCTCTGTACTCCACAGCTGCAAGGCAAGCATAGTTCGCTAGCCCGTGCTGCAGGATGTGGCATCATCTGTAGGTGACAGTCCCACAAAATATTGTTTTTTGTGTGGTGGTGGGGGGGTTGTTTGTTTGTTTTGTTGTTGTTGTTTTTAAGCAATCTCTATACCCACTGTGGGGCTTGAACTCAGGACGCTGGGATCAAGAGTCCCATGCTCTTCCGACTCAGCCAGCCAGGCGCCCCATGGGGGATTAAAATTCTTAAGAAAAAAAAAAACTTTTTTTTTTGTCCACTTTAAAAATTAAAATATGTGTTAAGTTTATGATCATGAAGCACAGTAAAGATTATTTAAAAAGAAGAGGGTAGGGGCACCTGGGTGGCTCAGTCAGTTAAGTGTCTGCATTCGGCTCAGGTCATGATCCCAGCATCTTGGGATCGAGGCCCGCATCAGACTCCCTGCTTAGCAAGGAGCCTGCTTCTCCCTCTTCCTCCACCTGCTGTTCCCCCTGCTTGTGCTTGCTCTCTTTCTCTGTCAAATAAATAAAAATAAAATCTTTAAAAAAAAAAAAAAAGAGGGTATGCAACTAGTAGATAAATAAAGTCCTGGGGTTCTAATATACAGTACAGTAATTAGAGGCAACAAAACTATTATAGGCATTAAACTTGCTGAAATAAGAGATCTTAATTATTCTCGTCACCAAGAAATGATAATTATATGACTTGATAAAGAAGTTAATGCTACAGTGGCAGTCATTGTAATATAAATGTAGCAAATCAGTATATTGTATACCTTAAACTTACACAATGTTATAGATCAGTTATATCTCAATAAAACAAAAAGACCCAGAAAATTAGATAGAAGAAGAGAGTAGGAGCACCTGGGTGGCTCAGTCCATCAAGCGTCAGCCTTCGGCTCAGCTCAGGTCATGATCCCAGGGTCCTGGGATCTCAAGCCCCACATCGAA